GAGAGAGAGAGAGAGAGAGGAAAATGATTATCTAAATATCAGAACACAGCAGCACAAATTCTGATACGGTAAGTTAAAAGAAAATAGGCAATAAAATCCAGCAAACTACATATCACGCGTCCGTCATGCTTAAGAGGTATCAAAATTTCTAGACGAACTAATTTCACCAGCAAACTAAGACCTTGGCTTTTCTTTTTTCTCCTTGAACAGGGCAAGGAGAGAGACACCAGATACTTTCACCACCTTGAATCTAACACCGGGAATATCTCCGACAGCATGTCCCTTACGTCCAAATCCAGCAATCAAAACTTCATCCTGTTGCAAAAGGTAATAAACACAATGTAAAACAGCAGATAAAGAATCACAAGCAATATAATTAATGATCACTCACGTTTTCTTCGATGTAGTTTAAACAACCATCATTGGGAACAAAAGCAGCAATCTTCTTGCCATTCTTAATGAGTTGAACCCTAGCACATTTACGAATAGCAGAGTTTGGCTGTTTTGCTTCGATGCCTCTGTCAATGAGACGAGATATGTTCGTCGTAAAAAGATCGGTTCCATACATGAAGAAATCAAGAAAGACAGTGATGAAAACAAAATAAAACAAAGGTTTATTCTAACATTTTCTCAAGGACGATGCCTTTTGCGTGCGATGACCCAGCAAAAGGTTTCTTCCATTCGTTCCCAAGATGGGATTTCTTATACGCCTTGTCAGCCCACCTTTGTCTTCTGCGGTGGGACTTCAGCTTGCGACCAGCTCCCATACCCCGTGTCTTCCTGTATGATAATATCTAGTTTATTAACCCACACAAGAACAAACTTAGGTACTTCACTGGTTACTTGGGGGGGCTCAAAATGGACAAATTTATTGAATTACTTGGGAAGTGACCACATGGTTTGCTAACTGAATTACCCTTAAAATGTTTCATGTACCCTTAGCTTCGGAACTGTTGCAGGATTGGTTTTGTATATTTCTGAAGGGAACAAATAATCCAGCTATAGATATAGCTCTTCTGATGGAGGGTGCCACAATGCATACAGTTCCAACATAATCAATGCTATGAAATTTCATTAGTCTATTTTTTGTTCCAAGGTTCAAAGCATTTAGTTTCATCCTCGTTAAGCCCCACTAGAATTACACAAGGATACATATCATACAAAATTTAGGTCATTTGAAGAACTAAGCCCTTGTTTGGTAATGATTTAAATTCAGATTTTAATCTAAATCAAAGTTAACAATCAATTTTATCAACACATTTCATAAACTTTCATCAAAATCTACTAAAAATCTGATTTTAATCCCTACCAAACAAGGGCTAAAATCATCAACCGGGATTCACATTACCAATTGCACATATTTTGGGGCGAATTGACAATTTCTAGAATCATCAACATTTGTAATCACTACATTCTAATTACAGCAAACAATCGTACCATAACATGTTAACTGATGTAAACAAAATTTATTGTTGATTTGTTCTTAGACCTCTTTCAATTAACTGACTGATATTCTTCCATAAAAAAATATACAATTAAAGCACTCAGCATTCTAGATCCCATTGTTGCACCGCAATTGAATAAAGCACCAATAAAAATTAAAAACGATTATTCATAGCCGAGAGTCAATTAAACCAAAATACAATCTAAAGCAACTGAAAATCTTTCCAATAAAATCCATATTTTTTCAAAATTATGTATATTGTTATGTACAACATTCAGTGGACATACCCCATGATTGCAGATTGAAGTGAACAAAATTCTAGCCTAGGGTTTGAGGGATTGGAGGAGAGTGGGAGGAGCCGCCAAGTTTGTGTAAAGCCCTAATTGAAGATCAAGAAATCCTATCTATGAGCTCTGCCCGTAAATTTTATCGCTTACTGGATTTGGGCCTGTTTTATTGGGCTTCTCAATCCTTGGGCCCGTCAGGTGACTGTTAATTTTTTAACTGGATTGTGTGAGAAAGGCTCAATTCCACATCGAAATTTGCTATTTGTACACTGATTTTTTATACCTTAGCTGACATTTACATTGTTGTTAAGTGTCAATTGAATGAAAAAACTGTTTAAAATTTAAACTGTCTAATATGATAATGACACGTGACAAATTATAAAATATAGTGTATATGTAGCAAGGTTCATTCAACACCCCATCTTGTTAAATGGTTTAAAATTTGTGGCAATTACACTGAGGGAATTTGAAAATCAAAATTCGAAAATCAGAAATAAAGTTAATTTAACCAAAAATTAGGTGACAATTTCATATTTTAATATTATTAATTATATTACAAATTAATTTACCCCATTCAAACTATAAATCATTCACTCTCCTATCTTCCTCACCTGTCTCTCTATCCTCTCTCTCACAGACCATGCTATCAGAGGCCCACTCTCTACTCACTTCGCTGCAAGCAGAGTTCTTCGCCGTTCCATATACCCGTTATCTCCTCCATCTTTCCTTAATGGAAGTCATCAGTATTTTCTCCTTTTTCCAACACATGATCCATCATATCTAGAATCAATGACTCCAATAGCATCATTCTCCTTTCATCTCCTCCTATTCTTTTTATCGCATACTGTTGCCTGGTGACGAGGGGTGCCCATTGCCGTTGCTTCTAACATGACATTGGTTAATCCACAACGGTGCAGATGTGTTGTTTCCGTTTCTTTTTTCTTTTTTCCTTTTCTTTTTTAAAATTTTTGAGTTGATTTCTCGAATGGTTATGATGATTTGTGCGGTTGTTGTGTTGTGTTGTGTAGCGATGGTGGGACAGTGATGGTTGGTAAT